CTTTGGAATAAATTCAGTTTCCAAAGCTTTCTTTCTGGAATAAAGCAATATACAAGAAACAGGTTTTCTTACCTGAACATTTCTGACACCTCTACAGTTGCCAGCCAGAAACTATATGAATTGGCATAGTAATTACACGTGCCACGACCATGGCATTCAATAAACGGAGCTGAACGGAATTCTTCTAAACAGGATCCAGGTGATGCCAAGGCCTGTCCAGAGCCCTCTGCTCCAGCACTAGTGTGCTGGTGGAGGAAAGAAACACACAAACAAGGATCTTGTAATAGGTGCTAAAAATTAAATAGCACAGCATTCAACTGCTAGAAGAATCACTATTCATTCTTGGTTGAGATAATGTGGTGTCAAGATACCTCTATAAATATCAATTACACTGGGTTCTGTGTACTGGAAAATCACTGTTAATCTTGGCTACCGTGGTTAGTCACTGAAGGTAAAGGCTTTTGTAGTTTTTAACAAAGTCCTAAAGCAGCTAGTTGAGGACACAAGTGGGTACTAGCCACTTCTGGAATAGGAGGCAGTTCTTACCATCATGAAAGAATAACCAATCCAAAGGGAGTCCCAGCCTGGAGGACACGAAGGAATTTGAATGGTCTGACTGTGGACAGCTATCACCATAGCAGGAGCTTCACACACAACACATCTGGACACGGTGGGAGTTTCAGAGAAACATGTGATATTAAAATATAATAGGAGTATATTTTATTAAGAATTCTTACATAGAGAAAGGGAAGAAAACTAGCCTGTGAGGTGCTGTCCTATTATTCTAGATTTCTACTTCTCACGCATTTTGTAACTGCAATAAGACAGTTATTTTGGAGTGCAAGATCTGCCGTATTTCCACTAACAACCATTGGGTAAAATACTGAAGCAGTTCCTGAAACAGAAACTAGAAGCTCAAAGTCCCCAAGTAAATGCCTTAATCTTAGGGCTAATGGCTCTTGTGTTTTCTTTCCTGTCCATGGTGATCTTGCACTGCTCACTACATAGCTTCCTCAGTCGAGGAGAGCTCTTACAGCCTTTCAGCCTCTAATTATCACTGCTGCACACAGACAGACCTTTTAAGACAACAAATACTTTAAACCAAGATATCTTCCTAGTATTTTCCAGAGCAAAACATGACAGATTGATCTAATATCCAACCTGCACATTGGAAGTAAGACATGCTATTAATCCAGATACTAAAAAAGAGACCTCATAGAATCATAGAATAGATTGGGTTGGAAAAGACCTCCAAGATCATCAAGTCCAACCCCTGATCCAACTCCAATTACTATATCATGGCACTAAGGGCCACGTCCAATCTCTTTTTAAAAACCTCCAGGGATGGTGAATCCACCACCTCTCTGGGTAGGGCGTTCCAGTGCCTGATTACTCTTTCTGTAAAGAATTTCTTCCTAACATCCAACCTAAACCTCCCCTGGCAGAGCTTGAGCCCATGCCCCCTTGTCCTATTGTTGGTTGCCTGGGAGAAGAGACCAACCCTCACCTGGCTATAACCTCCCTTCAGGTAGTTGAAGAGAGTGATGAGCTCACCTCTAAGCCTTCTCTTCTCCAGACTAAACAACCCCAGCTCCCTCAGCCTCTCCTCATAGGACTTGTGCTCAAGTCCCTTCACCAGCTTGCTTTGTCTCACCGGCTAATGAAAGGCTGGATGCTTTGCCCAGTCAGTGGCTCCATGCTCATCGGCATTGGCTCTGGAGTCGATAGCCAGTACGAATAGTCATTCCTTGATGCAAAATTACAAACATTGTTGATGTTGCAGAACATGAAGGGCATGGTGCTGAAACGTCTAAGACAGCTCCCAGCAGTACCTAGAGAGTAAGATACAAAAAACATGACAGCAGTGTTTTCACTTCATTGCTTTTTATAGCAGTTCTTTGAGAACAGTAATTGTGCATTCTTCCTCTCCACCTGTAAGTGCACAGCATGTGCTATCAAACTGTCACATGGGGGAAAAACTTAACTTCTCGGTTCTGGTTTACATCGTTTCATCCTGAATTACAATGTGCAACCTCTTGATGTAATAGAACTTAGTATGCAATCCCCATCCTAATCTAAGAAATCTCTAAAACTCTCATATCTTCAGAGAACCAGAGCATTTGAAGAAGTAGCTACAACCTCTTTGCCCTTAAAGAGAGAACATAAAGAATATCTCACCCAAATCCTGGCCATGTGCTCTCTCATTTCCTTGCACATACAGAAGAGAGAATCCATCATATATTCTTGATGTTCCTTGTGGACATAGTGGTGTATCCCTGGTCTGGCTGTGCCTAGTTATAAGGAATCCATGAGCAACAGAAGCTGTTCCAGGGGGACCAGGTGGGCCTTGTAAGCCATCAGGACCAGGAGGTCCCTGTATTCCTCGTGAACCTGTTCACATGAGAGAAACACAACATGCAGTATTTATTAACACCATTTCTTGCTCTTTTAGGACTAATGTAGCTCTGAAAGGTAGCGTGGTCTTGTGACCTGGGGGACCCTGGTATCTGCTAACACTCTCTTCCTCAGATTATTTTTTCACGGAAGCTTGGTTAAATCACTGAGGCTGTCATAGCTAGCTATAAAAAAACAGTGCAACTGCCCTGTGTTGTCGGGGTATTGTGAAATTAAATACGTTCAGAGCCATGAGGCACTAAGATAACAACTGCAGTGGACATGACAGCCACTGGAATGAGTCCAAATTAGCTTCCCAATTCCAAAACATATTAATCTATGCATGCAGCTTAATAAGAGAATGTTGAAACATCTTGCTCAAGATGACAAAATAAATTGGCAGAGCCAGAAACAGAAGCAAGTCTCATTCTAGGGCATGCTATGATAACACCTAAGCCGAAATGAATAGAAGAGCTGCAGTCAGTTTTGGAATAGGCCACAAAAAGTGGAAATAGGCTAGAACAATCCTGAATGAGAGCAAGAATGAGTCATATGACTGAGAAAGGTATCAGAAAAGGCATTTGTTCTTCAACAGCAAAAATACCGGGAAATATAACTACAGATATTTAGACTATGTTATTCCACAGTCATTATTATTTACGTTTTTTCACTAAAACAACGCTAACAGATTTCATAGAGCTACCCAGAGAAAAATGGCATTATGGATTTTTATACTGTTCTAACTCTAATACTTTTTCTCACAAGTTGCAATATATAGCTATTTAGTACGTATCATCTTTAGAAAATGGTCCCAGTGCCTAGTCTGATTTATTTTCTCAAATCATAATCCAGTAATTCTAAACTATAGCTGCAAGGTAGCCTGATCTCTGCCTTTGGTGAAATTCTTTCCTTTATGAAGTCTGTTTTTCCCAATTCATTATTTCCATGCAAAGTTAAAATTATTTTACTAATCTGTCTCTTCTGTTTCTTACTGTCTTCATTATCTCCTGTGCATCATCTGTGCTGCAAAGAGGATGCCATTAAGCTTGAGATAAAGCACTCGACAATATTATTCATCAAGGACCAGCAACATGTTGGTTCCAAGAATATTACAAACCAAAGTATGTTCAGCTGCTTGTAATACTTTCACATTAAGAAAATCCTAAAATTATTATTTTATTATTATTCCCATGAGGCAAAGATCTCACTTCCCAGTATTGTCCTGCACTCACAAAAGGGAGCATCTCTTTTTATCACTGCATCCTCAATGGATAAACACTGTACCTGGTTGGCCTGGAAGACCTCTCTCTCCTTTACGTCCTGCTGGACCATCAAAACCAGGTAGTCCATCTCGCCCTGGGTCACCAGGAAGACCAATTGGACCTAGAATAGACAAACGAGTAACTGAAATAAAAGCTCCGAAAATCTCACTACAGAAATCTTTAAGTTGTTTCTATTGTTTCTTCGTCAGACAAGAACAAGACCATTAAACCAGATGTATATGGTAGAACCTTACATTTATCTATTACCTCTTGCTGAATTCAGTAACTTGTCTCTGCAGCCTATGCCAAGTGACTCGCATTGCAGCATGCAGTCAGCTATACTTCTTAGTCATTTTTTCTGCAGCCACCTAGAATCATACCTGGCAATCCCTGTGGCCCTGGCAATCCAGGTGGCCCTTTTGACCCAGGCTGTCCTGGAGGACCTGGGGGACCAGGGTCACCTTTGACAACAATGCTTCGTCCGATGGTACCTGGTAAACCTGGTGGACCTGAGAGAAAGCAGCTTAGTATTAGATAAACCTGGGTAGAAAAGAGCGTTAAAAACATTTTCTGTTATTCTTCCTTGCAAAGTCAGAAGCCAAGAGCTCTATCAGTGCAACAAATAACTGTCAATATAATAAAGGCAAAAAAGTGCTCTTGGTGACCCCTCCCAAAGGGCAGCTCTTGCAGGGGTTAATCCGTGTAGACTGGATACAGTACAAAATACGGTAGGATTACTTCTAGAGCTAACAAGTATAGCTTGGAATTGTGTTTGAGCTGTTGCTCACTTAGCTATCATTGCTGACCAAGACAGACTCAGTCCTACCTCAGTGTAACAAATTCTAACTGGCAGGGAGCAAAAGTGACAATAACGCTACCCAGGACTCCTACCTGGTGGGCCTGGCAGTCCTTGGCTGCCTGTGAGGCCAGCAGGTCCTGCAGGTCCAGTAGGACCCTTCATACCTGAAACATCAAATTCACACAGTTACACAGTGAAAGAACATGCTGTCTTGCAAAATCTGCTGCAGGAATGGCCAAAATCAGGCTGCTTTTCTCCCTGAGGGGCTGTTACTGTGTCTGGAGGTTTTCATTGAAATGCTAGTTAAATACCTGGGAATCCTGGAACGCCTGGAACCCCGGGGTCACCCTTCATTCCATTCAGACCTGGACGACCAGGATCGCCCTGAACAGAACAGCTTCATGTTATGCACTCATCTCCTTCAGCAGTTTCAGGAAAAACAGATAGAAAAGGTGGCTGGGGACAAATAAGCACACTTGGGGTCTGTGAACTAGTGCTCTGCAGGGCAGAGGCCATGCATTCTGCTCACTTCACTGGATGCTGTAACAAGAAGTGTACATTGACAGCTCCAGCTCCCATGGGAATATAATGGGGGACATTCTTCCCAGATACTGGGAGATAATTAAGGAAAAGACCCTCTTACTTGCCATAAGACAGGATGTTAGCTATCACATTTTGCCTTTTATTTTACTATGATAAACTGCATACATATTTCACCCAAATATATTCCATTGTTATTGCATTTAAAATAAGTTAGGGGGAAAACTCCATTTCTTGTCCTACCTGGCGTCCAGGTGGTCCTTGATCTCCCTTTAGACCAGGCAGGCCAGGTGGACCAGGTTGACCCGGGTTCCCTTTTTCCCCTTTAACTCCTCCATTGCCTGGTGGCCCTCGTGGACCTTCTGGGCCTGGTGGACCTTAACATTGCAGAACAAATATGCATATATCAGTATTTATCATCCATTCTCCCCAGGTTTGTGCCTTCAGCGTAAAAAATAATTAAAGATATTTTGGCTTGACTTCCCAGCTCTATTTCAATGCTGAATTCAGGATAAACTAAAAGGTAAACAAACAGAGGGATTATTTGCACTACCCAAATCAGGAACCAAGGCTCCTTATCTAGCTGACAAAGAGAAGCAGGTCTTTCCAGAAAGCAGTGCAACTCACCTGCATTAGAAGCTTACCAGTGACCAGACTGGTACCTTTAGTAGGAGCCAAGAAACCCAAAGTTAGATGGTACAAATATCCCCTTTGCTGACCTGCATTAAATTCATCATCTCCTAAGTGCTATCTTAACAGACTGAATTCCTTTTGAAAGCCAGTCTCAACAATGCAAAATATTGCTGCTTTTTTCCTGTTAGAATTTGGCATACTTAATAATGTTTGCATAATATTTGCATTTGGCATTTGAGAAGCCCAGTATATGCTGACTGCTGGGCAGCAGGAAGCCCACCATTCTGCCTTACCTAAATACTAATCTGAGTTGCAGAAACTTCCTTATATTGAATGACTCTCCCTCCAACTGATTTGTCTATCTTTAATAGAATTACACTGTGGAAATCCAATAGAGGAAATGGTCTGGTCTTTAAATATTTTCCCTTTGCTACAGCCACATTAATCCAAAGCAAAGCAGTGGATTTAAATGAAACTTAAGTATTTGGAGAGCTGAAAGATGAGAGTCCCACCTTTATGACACCATCTAAATAGAAGGTTACTGATCTTAATGTGTGGCAAAACAAACTATATGCAAGTGCAGCAACAGCTAATAACATTTCACAAGTTAGATCTCATAATTTAATTAACAAAAGGATCTCTGTGCAGGACAGTGCTATGACATTCTCTCCTGTAGTATAGCAAATCTAAGAACATTTATCAGTGTGCTGGATTTTCAATTCTTCTGCAACCTCAAATAATTAAACATCTCCTTTGACATCCTCCTAGTCTATATTCCGTGGATAAATTCTGTGCATGCAAATCTGAGTATAGTATTCCTTCCAAAATTTTTCTTTCTAAATCAACAGAAATTTTGTACCAGATTTCACACATATCCTGTAGCAGTTCCAGCTACAGAAAACATCCCATCATGCAAAGATTTTTTGTGTTCATTTTGCTCTTTTATACTGGTCTAGTACTGTACACATGCAAAATAATAACAGGTTACCCTCTGAGGCATGCTAATCAAACACACATGATCTGCAGGGTAACCACAGTCCTTAAAAAAGATAATCACAGAATTACAGGAAAACATCCGTTTCTCTTACATCAAGTGCAATGCAGTAAAATAAATTGACCGAGTTAAGAGTCTAACCTGGAAGACCTGGAAGGATCAGAGTTCACCAAAGCCCAATGATCGATGTTAGAGGGGTCAGACATCACACAGTACAAAACAAGATTACTAGTTAGAAATAGTACAGATGACAGCATATACACTACACAACAACCCATTTCACCAGCATATTTTGTATTTACAATATAATCCACATGCATGCATAAAACCATACATGAATACACAACGATATGTATTTTCAGATACAAGTTATTCTGGTGACTAGGCTCTACTGAGACTACTTTGACACTTCATTTAACAGCAAACTTAAAGCTTTACTAAAGAATGTGTTATTGCTTTAACATTACAGCTGAGGCCTGTGACTGGTTAGTCCTACTGACAGTTGGATTTGGACTATGTAACCATTTCACTGACAATATTCAACATCAAAGGGCCTGGAGCTTGGCAAATAGCAGCTAAATTGTGAATGCCAACTTACTCTTGAGCAAAATATTGCTTTGGGCAGGGGGGCATGTGATTAACAAAAGGACTCATCACCACTTATCAGATACGAGCTTCAGCTATCTGAATACAATTACAACCTCTTCAAGATGGTAAGCAGGACTGATAGAGATCAAAAGGGCTGCAAATGATATAAGCAAAAATACAGCAGAACTTACAAATTTAATTTGTTGTCTTTACTCTTGGCATTATTTTTTCTTGATAAAAATACCCCAAGGTGTTTAAGGTTATTATGAAGAATGGCATTTGATGACATCCTTAGAAAAATCACTTAAATGTCCTCTTTCAAAAGGTAAGATGGTTGTCCCTACTATGCTCCTGAATTAATACAGATTTTAGCCCCTGTGCCACTTGCATCTTTCATGTCAGTGAAATGATTTAAGTATATTAACATCTCACCATGCAATTTGCAGCTACAAAACTACAATAAATATGTCAGGTTTACCTCAATGCACTATTTTTTACATACTTGGTAAATTATTTTAAATACTAACTGCAATACAGTTGTTAAAATAATGACATGGACATTTAATTGTCACTGTTAAGTACTTATAAACTATATTTCACTGTTAGATAAGTTTTGCCATGATTTATAAATCTGGCTTATATTTGTTGATCATTGAATTCTGACTAGACAAAGTCACATGGTGGAACAAAACGTGAAGCAATTGGTAAGTTCCTCTCAGCATCCCCATGATAGTAGCCCTCTTTAAAAGTGTGGTTACTGGTTGTGTGACCACAGTTTAATTAAAAGGTAAAGCCACATTCATTTTTTTATATGACTGCATAAAGCTAGGATTCAAACATCAGAATCTACCACATTTGCTACCTCACAGTGCTTAGGACAGCACACTAAAAACTAAATTGTATTCCTTTATTGAATTTTCAGGAAGCAAGTTCTTTGCTTCCTGAAAGTCATCATAGCAAAACCTAAAGACATCATTATTGTTAAATAGATATACCGAGTCATTTTCAATCTAGACACAGACGTTAAAAATCTTCCCAAGAGGTGGCTCATGCTACACGCTGATATGGTAAAATTACACGAAGGTTGTGAAAATGACCATGCTCTTACCAGTCCTGTTCCACTGCCCTAGCATTAGGGAGGGGAGGGCTGTATGCTTCATTTTCATTAAATAAATATTAAAGGAAGAGCTTTCCTCATTTCCTCTAAACGTGCTGGTGAAGCAAAACAACGGTAAGAAGGATTTCTCTGCACTGGAAAGTTACAATGCTCTAAATTTGGAATGTAAAGCATCACTGTTACTATATATAAATTTTCATGCAGACACTGTTGGTATAAAAGAAGCATCTAATTTTTTTAAGTCACTTGAAAATGTCCAAAATCAACAGTAGCAGGTGTTACAAAAATGAATACTGTCATTTGCCCAAGCTACAAAACACAATTATACAACAAAGACAAGGGAGGACAGCGCAATATGCTTTTTTAAATAAGATGGAAACCAGTATATATTGTTTTCAACTGCACTGAGAATAAATATACTAAAACAAGTTTCACAGTTGGAGACACTTTATAAAGGCCTTGCAAATCTGGACCCACATGATCTTTCACCATGGGAAGAGCAACACTATGTCCTTCCAATGTCAGTCCTATAGCAACATGGAGGAAAAGCCTGAAAGCCAACTCTGAGCTTTTCTTTTCTACCACAAATTAAAAGGTATGTCTGAAAAAATGACTCGGCATATCTACATTTAGACACTACAAAAGTATATACATTAATTTTCATGCAAAGTTATTAATTTGGAGTTAAGGGGCTAACCTGAGGGACCTGGGAGTAGGGGGTCAAAGTTCACCAAGGTCATCATTAGAACAAGGGGAAAAACATCAAAATTGTTAGAAATATCAACAAGCTAACATATTCAACTAAACCTTTATTTTTAGATTTAGCTCAATATTCCTTTACATACAGTATGCAAAACACCAAACTATTATTATTCATAGCCATGAAAATAGACTTCTGGAGTAACAGCAATGTTGTGTTGCCCTGGAAATTAGCTTAATTTTATGATCAGTGAATAAATCCATCCCAACACCGTCTACCAACATTTGTTTTAGGGGCAACTCAACTGAAGTCATGGAGCTACATCATGTTTGACTCCATCATTTTTACTAATCTTAGAATATACCCAGAAGTCAACAACAAACAGTGTACACATACAGCTTCTGGTTTTATTTATGTCCCTAGAAGGGGGGTAGTTTGACAGCCACACAGCTGCTTTTATGACTAACTGCCTTATGTTGAAATGTTACAAAATCAGCATTCCAACAATAGACTGTGTTATCATTTGAAACAAAAGGCTGGAGTGCTGATTGTACCAGAACTGCAATAATAGTTTGGTTTATCCACATTAGTTCACGCATAACTGAGCAAAACAAATGCTTTACTTTATACATTGCATGCAACAAAAATGGAAATAAGAGAAAGAGAGAGAGAGAGAGAGAGAGAGAGAGAGAGAGAGAACATGGCTGAGCAGAACCTCACTGGTTGTTTTCCCCCCTTCCAATGCTCATAAAACTGCACAAAATGAGTCCCACCATTCCTCTGCCTCCCAAGCTGGTTGGAGGCAGTAAGCACCTGATTATACAGAGAACAGCAAACTGGGTGAGAAGCTTCATAAAAACACCAATGCTAGAGCAGAGCATAGAATCTCTGTTGGTAGTTTTATTATACATCAGGAGCTGCTTAGCAATTGTGACTGGCTGTGAGTTAACCACCCATTGGGCTGTTCCACACCAGTCACATAAAAAGCAGGTTTAGGATACAACACAGTTCAGGTATTTTTACTATGGCTAAAAGAAAACGTCATTATACTGGCAAATAACACCCCAGTTTAAGGTGTTAAAAATTTAAAGCAACTGTTTTTTACAATTAATATTTTTTTAAAATGCACAGTTATGATAGATGAGTTCATAGCCTACTCTGGACAAGCAAAAAGCTCATACTGCCATTGAAAATAATAAAATATGACTCAATTCCATTTCTAGTGAAAATATTTTGATAAAATTGAATTATAAAAACATTTTTCAGTGGGATTGCCTCCTCCTGTATTGGAAGAGAGCATGAGGAAAAAGCAAATCTTAAAATCTTTCCAAGTGCATACTGCAAAAATAAACTCTCCCTTGATACTCAAAACCGAGCAATGTATGTGTAGCAGCTATTTTACAAATGTACTAACTCAAAACTAACTTTTCCCAAACAGATTTCTGAATAACAGAAAATTCTGAGGTCAGAATTTGAGGGCAATAAATAAAAATATTACTTCTCCATTAATATGCAAAGAAAAAAACCCCAATAATTGGCCAATAGCTTGGTTTGAAAGTAGTCTCCTTTAAGGAGAATATCAAGCATGTTAAGTAAGATGAGTCTTACTGGTGGCAAAGTACTTCTGGACTCAAGAAACAGCAATAAGCTTGATCCAGAGTTGTGACAGGTTCATTAAAGTTAGATTTTTCAAGAGCAGTATCTAAATGAAAATAAACATTCTATGACACAAAATATAAATCAAATTCTAATCCATGGCAGGGAGTTGCTCAGCAATGTTAACTCGGTATAGTAGTTTTTTCATTCCCAGAATCAGTTGGTGCAGGAACAAAATGCAAACATGGAATGGAAAGATGAACACAGCATAATGGTGCACCGAGTCCATGGGAGCCACGTGACACAATGGAGCAATGACTTATGTTACATGACACGAAGATGAAGAGGCAGCTATCCAATTTGATCATGCTGTGATGCTAGTGTGAATTTGATTTTCATGACTCTTAAAATGATGGGGTTTGTTACTTTTGGTTTTTTGTGCGCGATGACATTTGCTGATCACGTGACAATACTGCAAAGGCATCAGATGTTCAAAAGTCGGTATGGTGCTCGCTAGATGATTACTGTGACAGCATGCGGAGAATCTCCCGTGTATCAACGCATTGGGTTTTTGCTGCCAGGTATCAGAAATTAATAGAAACTGAAGCTGGTTTATTTTTAGATTCTGTTACTTTTGGCAACAAAATCCTCTGGTTGCCCACAAATATTAAGACCTATGCCATGAGGCTTGAATTTATCCATCCAAATAAATTGGGACACTTTAAAGGCTGATAACCTACCAGCAAAATATGAAAGTACTGGCAGATGCTGATAAGGTATGGATCACGCTCTTACCTGGCCTTCCTGGAACACCTGGTGGGCCAGGGCTACCTTTAGGGCCTTCCAGAGGTGGCCCTGGTATTCCTGGTGGACCTGGTGGACCCTGTAGACCGGGGAATCCCTGGAAACCTGGTTCTCCCTTCAGACCTGGAAGTCCAGGGGGCCCTGGTGGGCCAGGTAACCCCACTTCTCCTTTTTGCCCTGTAAAACCAAAAAGACATGTTTATGAATACTGTTATAAATTGGTGTGCAAAAAAGTCCAAATGTCAATTTGCAGAGCCATTTCTTTCTCTGCAGAAGTGCAAGTCTGGCCACAACTCACCCCATTTGCCCAGTGAGACAGTATAAAATTGGTTTAACATTCAGAAAAGAGTTAGGGTTAATAATTCTTGCAGGAGAAAGTGCTATAGCTTCTGACACGTTAAAAGATCTTACAAGGTCTCATTTTACTACTCAGTGATGATGTAATTCATAAACATCCTCTGAGTTTGTAAGCCTACAAGCAAAGCTTTCTGTGAAGAAATCTGTCAAGACTTCATCGTTTTTTTGAAATGCTGCTGAAAGACATACTTGCAAAATTTTCAAATAAGCTTGAGGAATTTAGGAGCTTTTATGCTACTGGAAAAGAATATAATTTAGGTTATGAAGTTGCTTTTGAAAATATAGCAAGCAGCTATATTTTCAAAGCAGCTTCATTTGTCATCTGTCATACGAATGCTGTATTTACTGAGAAAAGTCAGCAAAGTTCTACACAATGCAGTAGAGTATTATCCTGTGTGGATTTATTCTGTCTGCATAATTGCTAATTTACAAAATTCAGTAGTCAAAAATGAGTGTCTTTATCACCATAGTGTTGTGTGAAAACAGTTTGCTTAGAGAAAAAAAAGTTATTTTAGTTGTTGCTATGGCATTCATTTGTTGCAGAACATACAACATGCCCTTCTTTTTTTTGGTGTATTGATACATTTTACATTCAAGCTTTTTAACAAAGAACAACAAAGAAACTTTACCTGATAATCCTGGCAGTCCTGGAGGTCCTGGACGCCCAAAACCTGGTAGACCTGAAAAGAAACAGATTCAGTTAATAATGAACATTTAGCTTTCAAGAATCCAGGAACAGGAACATGAGGCTGAGAACTATGAAAGTGCTGTTCATCTAAATCTGTTGATTCCTTGAGACTACCAGGATTCTCATTCTCCAGTCTACAGTGAAGCTAGAGGTTTTGCTACAAAATGCATCTGTAACTTTCACAAGTATTTCCATTCATTTACAAGATACTCTTCCAGATTTTGGGAGTTAATACATTTGCATTTTTGGTCGAGGTTCTGTCTTTAAGGCATACTTCACACTTTATCTATTCTGTAACTGAGTTGAAGCAATACAGACACCGTGGAATACAGGAACAGGGATTGGAGTTGAAGTCAGGCATTAAAAATCTAAGAACTGACTGAATTCTTGTCCTGTGCTTCATTGGCAGCTTGACAGCACTCTTTGTGAACCATTCAGCAGTTGGGAACTGCAGGAGCAGCTTTGAAGGTGTATGGGCAGTTACAGGAAAAATAGAATAGAGAAAGCAGGACATCATAATGCAGTGTGAAGAGGGAAAAACAAACAGGAAGAATACCTAACCTGGTTCACCCTTCTGACCAGCTGGTCCAGGGATACCATCTCGACCAGGCTGTCCCTTCTCCCCTGAAGGACCGGGAGGGCCAGGACGACCAATGTCACCTAAAAGGAAGACAGAACACATTAGCACAGTAATGCCTAACCTGCAATAAAAAAAAAAAGCAACCTCCCTCCACTTCCCCACCATCTAAATCTGAAGGTGTGACAATGTAATAACAAATTCACAAGGGTGTAATCTTAAAATTTAAACTTCTCTCTCCCCCTTTCCCTCCCTGACAAGTTAGAATGAGTTTTTAGGAATGTGACCTTTTAAGCAGTTAGTGTTTGCTAAAAATAATACTATGCTTCTCTTTAGTATAAATTAGAATTTTGCTCCTATAAAAACAGGTTAGACCACTTGAATACTTAAAAAGTAAAGCTCATAAATACTGAAACAGTTAACTTCTTGTTTCAATAGCTAATGCTATGACTATGACAGCAGACACGTCAAGAGAAAGTTAAAACTTCTTTCTTTTCTGTTTAATTTCAGTGAACTGTGTGCAGTGGTGCTTGAGCATCTGTATACATATGGGTGCATTTTCATTGTGTTAAAAAGATAATAAAGGAAGTGGCTTCATGTGTTAGGCTTTTCACAGAAGCAGCTGACCTTTGCTGCACCGTTCATGCTCACCTACTGGCCCAGGTGGTCCAGGCAGGCCAGGATTACCTGGAGGCCCCTCAATACCTTTTGGTCCTGGAATTCCTGGCGTTCCTGTAAAGTACAGGCATTTCAATCAAGTAAGTACAAAACTGGCTTTTCAGCAGATCTTGAAATGCTATAATCTGACATGCTCTGAGCAGCAAGTGAGCTAATTGTATGAAGATACTGCATTTATACTCATTTCACAGATTAAGCTGATCAAGGAGATGAACTATAAAGCAAAGAACACACAGAAACAAAACATATTAGCACAACTGTCCTTACTGCTACTCTCAAAATTCTGTCTTAACTGTTGAGTGCTTGTGGCCAAGGACACCATGAGTCTGGCAGTCTGCTAGGAAATTACTATTTTAGAGACAAGTGTTTCTGCTTGGCAACAAATTTAAAGCATTGTGAACTGTGGTTGGATAGTCCTTCCTCATTCCTCTTTTCCTTTCCTAAGAAAGGATCTTAATAAAGATAGTTTTAGTTAGAATTTACACTGGATTCTCACCCCTACTGCATGACCTGAGTGAGAGGTAGGAGAAACAAACGATCTGCTGCTGTATGTATGTTCTGAACAGCACCTGAGCCTGATCGAGGTAGGGTCTCTCTACACTGTTTTGACTATTCACAATCTTTCAGGCACAACATGAGGGAGAAGTTAAAAACTGTCAGGTTCATGGACAGGTTTTGTTCTCTTCCTCCTGCTGCCATGACTACACTGTTACAAATTCCCTAACTTCCTAACATTAAAGCTGCTTAAGCATGCTGATAGAACAGCCTTTATTGCTGCAAATGCAGCACAGGTAAAAACCTTGTTTCTTTAAATTTAGAATGAAAGAACTGACATATACCTATTAAACAATCTCTCAATATTTTTAGAGAAGAGTGCAAAACCTTATTTCATTATGTTTCAGAAAGAGATTTCTCTTTAGAACGTATTTTTTAGACAATAAATGCTATTTAAAAAGCCTAGTTTTTTTGATGACACTTTTTAATTGATTCATGAAGGAAAAATATGGAACCAAGCACAGGTATTTTGTGAGTCAGAGCAGGTGAGAGTGACTGCTGTGGGGAGCATTAGCTAATGCAACTGCTACATCCCTTTCAGAGCAGATGAATAATTTCAGAAGGCACTTAAGTGATGCCTTTATACACTTGCAGTGTCTTGCAGTGACAATTCCTACAGCACAAAGCTTAGAAGCAGCAGATTGCTAGAAATTTGAAAGAAGCTGCAGCTGTTTACCAATTACCCACTGTGTTTAAATCTACATACCAATATAAGCAAGAGGGGAAAAATAATTAAAAAAAAATCCTGTTCAGAATTACCTGGGAATCCAGGAAGGCCTGGTTCTCCTTTTGCACCTGGACTGCCTGGAAAGCCAGGCAAACCAGGATTTCCAGCTATACCTTTACTGCCTGGACTACCTGGGTATCCAGGCAAACCAGGATCACCCTGGAAAACATTAAGCAGAAATAAGAGGTCAGCCTTTGTAAGATGGGTAAGCCCTTCTTGTATGTTCCCAGTCTTACCATCACAAAAAGGTCACCATTATGTTGTGTACACTTTTCCTTATATCCAGTTAATGTTAACCACCTCACACAGAAAATTAACTGGAAATAGCAATGGTAAAGATTGTAACAGTTTTCCTCTACAATTTTGTATACAGTATCATAGCTTTTCTTCAGAACTAGCCTAAGTTAAAGGAAAAAGTGTTCTCTCTTCTTTCAGAGCAGGCAAGAGATTTTTACCCCATGATGATGCAGAAGAAAAAGAGAAATCTGCAGACCTTTATTTATGCAATGTTTTTGCTAAATTAATTGCTGCTCTATATCAATTGTAAGGCATCAGTGGAGGCTGCTAGATATTCTGTAGGCCTTTTTGTTACTTCTTTGTGAGTGACAGAAAGGATGATAGAGATAAACATTAGTGCAAATGTTTATATTATATAGACTTAAAAAATTTAAGCAGCAGTAATCATGATATATCCAGCTTCTTAGTAATTTATTCTTAAATGCATATTATCTTAATTTTTTTAGCATTAACTACATAATTGTAGTTATGGGAACGATGACATTAATTGTATAAATCCCTACCAACTACCAAAATGACAGCAGTTATCATTAGTGCAGACTAGGGCCACTTATTGAACCCAACTTGAAAAGTCTGGTAAACAATCTTCTCCTTTAACCAGATTAAATTATATATAAATATTTTCACCTTTTAAATCAGAAATTTTTGCTCCCACTTAAGAAGAACAAACCACAGTCAACCCTGCTTGTTATTAATATATTTATATACATATTTACACTTATACATGATATATATTAAGTTATAGCTAAAAAAAAAAAAAAAAATCAACACAGAATCTAATTTCCTCGTGGAATTTTCTATTGAAGAATTTTGTAAATGTACCTTTGGTCCAGGGAGACCAGGAATACCAATGCCTGAAAGACCAGGGTCACCTTTCTCCCCTTTCAATCCAGGAAATCCTGCAGGCCCAGGCTGTCCTGGACGTCCTGCTATTCCTTGGCTGCCTTTAATCCCTGGGGGACCTATCCAAAAGATGAAATACAAGTTTTATAAATACAAATAGAACTTCTGCAGTGATTTAATTAAATCACTCAAACTACAGCAACTGAACAAGAAAGGACTAACAAGTTGACTGGCTGGCTTTGAATACCTAATGTGTTTTTATTTTCAAAAACGAATTAAAACAATTATTTAAAAATACCTCATGGCTTTTTTGCATGACATTTCTAAGCTTTCTTTTTTTATTCTTAATTTACACAAATCCAAATATCTCGTCATAGTATCTAAGTACAAGGTAATATTAGAATCCTCAGAAACTGGAATTTTTTTTTCAGCAATCTTTCTAAATAACAGAATTGACTTTCTCCTTCCCCTTTGCTTGTGTCTGATATCTGTCTTCTGACAGGTGGCTTTACAGAATCATCTTTTTTCTGAACTTTCACAGAGTGGAATCTGAGAAACCATATAAGTATGATAGTTACAAAATTCAGATCCTTCTGCTTCTACATCTGTAAGCACTTTAAAATAGTTTGTATTTACAATATATTTGCTATTTGCATTTTATATTTTAATGGGTATTTCCAATTTCTTATGTACTATTTCAACAAATATGTGTGTAGAGCTTTATGTATTCCTTATCTGCATTGCCATTTAAATAAATTATTAGATCCTGCACACAAGCAGATTCACCTTTGTACCATATCAAAGGAAAACACTATCCAAAATGGAGTAAAATACAAGCACAGTAACTAACCTGGAAGGCCCATCTCTCCCATGGCACCTTTTAACCCTGGAGGTCCCGTTGGTCCTGGCTGCCCAGGAAGCCCCGTGTCTCCTTTGATGCCTAGGAAAGTTGTATTTTTAGTTAATTAATGGCAATAATTAAAAGTTTCTGATACGCATACGTTATCATATGCTTGTCATCTAATTACAAAGGCAATAGATGTGGAGTTGCTTTAGGCCTGGTACTGCTCCTACATGCTTTTTCACACCCATTTGTAGTGAAATATTAAACACCTTCAGTTTGTTCCAAGCCAAGATTTGATCAGGGCAACTTCTTTGTTTTGCAGATTAGTCTAACAAAATGGGTCAAATCTCAGTCCATGATTTACTAACCAACTGAAACAATTTTGTACTGGTGTGACTTGGTCTCTCATGAGCTGTTGTGCAGAATGAACACATTATCTCTTTCTCATCTGCAACAGGTATTCAGTAGCTTCTATTATGGAATCAAATGCGACCTACAATGTTCAATCTAGTTTGAGTCCTGTATAGTTAAAAAAATTCCCCAAGCCCAACAAGCTATTTAGAGCAAGACCTAAATTAGACATACTGAGCAAAGATTCGAGGTTTCAGATAAATTGTTATAGCTGTAGGAAACAGCAGCACAAAACAGAATGTTTTCTTGATCCTTGCAATCCTTTAAAGCAAAGGTGTGACATCCAGACAGCCTTTGCAATACATTCGTTTGGCCATTTGCAAAGTATGAGTATAATGACTAACAATATAAGAACTAAACACATGAAACAGACAAGGTCTCTCGGCAGATCCTGCAGGCACGTTGCTTGCTCAAGCAGCAAGCTCTTTTCCAGTCATCCTAAAAGCTATCCTAATCTTCAATGGGATCAGCTTAAAAATGCTTTTGGGCCTGTTAGAAGGCAAGAGCTCAAAGCATACTGGTTGGATAATGATTTTAAATATCCCAAAACTGTGCTGCAGCTTTAAGTGTAAATCCCTAGGCTTTGCTTAGATATACCTGGATTAACATCTCAATCCCATGTGATAAAAACGCATGCAAATTTTTACACATCAAAACTGTCCATCTGAGGCCTTGTTTACTTACCTGGCAATCCTGGCACACCTGGTGGGCCACTAGGTCCTGGTGGGCCAGGGTCACCTGGGAGACCCTGATACCCTTTCTGTCCTGATAAACCAGGAATACCTCAAAGGACAAAGATATATTTTATTATTATTACTACTACTGTATGTTTTCTTTTACCTTAAGAGATCAGATGTAGCTATATGTGAAAAAGAATACAAATAGGCATTTTTCTTCAGTACATATAATTCCCCCTGGTTTAGTGAAGAGAAGTATCACAGAACACAAAATATTGCTTCTGGAAAGTTTAAAATTACTACAAAACAGGAACAATATAAGTTAAGTAGAGGAAAAAGTAACTTTATGACTAATGCCAATATACTTCATTCAGGAGGGACTGTCTTTTTGGTTGAGCAGACCCTCTGCTAACCTCTCTATATTAATCCAGATTATTTATATACATGTTTAATTACATTGCTACACCAGAAGCATTTTGGGACTAATATGTTATAAAAAGTAATGCAAGTATTTTAGCAGATTTTTACAAATTCTGTGTGGCTATTATCCCATACAATAACTTGTACTGCCCTGCAGACACAGTTAAATCTATCCTCTATAGCTCTTACTTAACAGAGGGAAAAAAAAGTGTCTTGGGATACTGCTTAGGCTTCACAGAAATTAATACAATAGATAAATTAGCACAATAATGGCTGGGCCAACATTAGAGAAAGGCATTCTGGTTCTCTCTAGAGTAGAATATTTTTACTCTACTCAAGACTAAACTAGAGTTCAAAGGAGACATCAGAACCCTTGGTGGGGGAGAAGGGGAAAGCAAGCAAGTGTGAGAGAAAAGAGACATGAGTGAACTGAGAAAACCTTCCAGGCTGCCAGCTTCCCAAGTAGAAACACACACAGAGATTACATTTAGCTCAGTGGAGGGTAAAGCTTACAGAGATGATGCATGAGCAGTTGACCAACGCAATTCCATCCTACAAGGCAAAGCCCTTAGGGAC